GGGCTCGAACCTTAAACCCTAAAGCCCCAGTGTACTACAGTCGTTAACCCTGCTCTGAAGGCCAACCGGCCGAGGACCACACCCGAAACCCGAGCACCCAAACACCGTGAACCTAGCTAACCTGGGAGTGTCAGAACTTTTTTCGCGCGTCCTCGGAATCTGGACCTCTGAGGTTGGCATTGATGATGCCTAGGTTGGCCCTTACATATCCCAATCGCCGAAGGAAGCCCCAAGATAAAAACAAAACTGTAAGACCCCTTGAGGAAACACGACAACACCCTAAACCCTGAACCATAAAAACACCCTAGCCCTAGATCCTGAGATCCTACCCAGATGCGCAAGGCCAGAGACTTGGAGTTGCCCGGTTTTCCCACAACGAAGACGGGGATGCGATTCAGGATGCAGACCATCATGACCTGATATATGGGTGTTGATCATCAGAATAAAGCTTTGGGAACTCTGTACCATAACTAGGGAATAATACTACTGCTGATTCAGGGCACCGTATGGGCACTGTGGAAAATTGAGGGTGTGGGGCTGAACCTATTACTGCTAGCAGTTAGGGACATCTTTCGTTAGTGGCTCAGGAACAAAACATGACCGAACCAGTCTTCTTCTTACCCGTCCTTCTGGCTTCTCCTGCCTATTTGCGTCACATTACCAGCACAGCTTCAGTTTTGGCTGCTACATGCTAGCATTAAACATGCACAAACAAAGCTGCAAACTGACCTTCAAGCACATATCAGCACTACAACACTTGTGGAAGTTGCTACCCCAAACCCTGAACCCTAAACCATAGTATTGCTACCATGTCTTGTTCTACAAACTCCTGTCCAAACCAAAGAACCCAGACCGTGGATTTCCTGTACTCGGTCTCCTATCACCAAGGATTCCTACAACTACCTATACAATACCTCGGCTTTACATGTGTATATATATATATATATATGGGTGTGTATGTATATATATATATATATATATAGGACATAAGGCATAATCTAGAATGTATACTATATACATATTATAGTATTCTATATTTATTGTTTCAGAAAACTACCGACGGCGCCCAGGCCCCGAAGCCCTGGAGGACTCAAGGCATCCTCAGGCTCCCGCGAAGACGTTTTCCAACAACGCTTCGTTCACCTTTGACCAAGCTTTGTTTGGTTTGGGCTCAAAAGTTTTAGGCTTCAGGGTTTTGGGGGCTTGGGGTTTAGGAAGGTGTCCTTGCAAAGTCCTAGCGGGTAAAGATTGCCAAGCCAGCAGCTAAGTCGCTGCTGTCATCTCAGGAAGGCGCATGCGCTCCATGTACTGATGCATCTCCTTGGCTCTTGAGGGCTTGCGATGGAAGCTTAGCTGTTCTAGGACCATCCAGAAGAGCACTACTAGTGGTGTGTGGTAAATGGATCGTTTCTAACAGAGGCATAGTCTCGTTTTTGAGCAACCAGTTCACGACCGACTCGGGTTCCCACTCCGTCCACCCGTTCCTGGTCCAACCCCCTTTCTGCGGCAGCTGCACGCGACGCTCTGCAAGGATCTCAGCGATCAGCCGGCGATAGTCAAACCGAAGCTTGCGTGTGGGCAAGCGACAGTGGTATGACACTGCGAGCCCGTTCAAGACAGCTCGCAGAAACATCTCCGAGTTTACATCGCTTGTCGCTGCTGCATTTCGTGTGCCATCCCATCGTCTCGCCTCCGTCCGATATTTGAGGTGGTCCTCACAAGACTCACAGGGGAAGGCCGAGAACGACAGGAAAACCCAACTCAACCCACAGCGCAGCGCATGCAACAAAGGCTTCAGCATCTTTGAATCAAAACCGTCCTTGAACCAATAAACCAATTCTACACAGCGCTTCACATCCCGAAGGCTCAGCAGGCAAGCGGGCTGATTCTGGGCGGTGAAGCGCTGCGAAGCCACAATCAGCTCCGTAAGACAGCCCGGCCAGTAGGCTAGGTACTGAGGCAACCTGAGCAGTCATTTCCGAGTTTCTTGACCGTAAACCCTAAACCCTAAACCGTCTTCCAGAACCAGCATCATAAGCTTGACAGGAAGATGGTGGTTCTGTGGCACACTTGAACCGCCATCTTTGCCGGAGATCCTGTTGCGAAAAGGGCGGAGAGTTCGAAGCCACGGTCTGAGGGCCCCGCGTCTGGAACTTTTGATTGACCATCGATCGAACGTAGCTCTCTTCTTCGGGCTCGCCCAAGAATCCAAAATCGTAGAGGTAGTCGTACAGGGCTTCTGGCAGCTCCTCGTGAGAATTAAACCAGGGGATCCCTAACTTCTGGAATCCCCTAGTGCCTGCGGGAAGCTTCAACCCCGAATCTTCTAAGCGCTTGTTTGCTCACATCCTGTCAGTGAAGGGATGGGTGGTTGTCTGTCTGGTGCTTAGTAGGGAATGGGGGAATGGATCCCTATGATAGTCCCTTAAGGTCCCTTATAGTAGTCCCTATAGCCCATTCCCCCTTTCCCTACTAAGCACCAGACAGTTGTCAGGACGTAAGAATGGGAGCTAGGATAAGGGGACCCTTCAAAATATAGACCCTCTCAACAAGGTCCCTTTTAAGAGAGCCAAAGTAAGGTTCAGAAGGGGTACCCTTTCAGGGGTACCCCTAATAAACCCTAAACCCTAAA